CGCACACCTTCACCCCCGGGTCGCCGGCGAGGCCCTCCCCCACCCTAGCCCACCCCCGGGCAGCGGCCACTTCCATCGTTCCCTTGCGGCATCGCGCCCCCCATTTTCACCCGGGTCCACCTCCACCGCCCTCTCCAACAATCTCCTCGCAACACGACACGTCTCCAACGGGGACGTCAGGGACCCCTCCAGCTCCTTCTTTCGCGCTTTCCGCAGCGCCTCCTTCGTCGCCCCTATCACAGCCCACGCCTGGTCCCTGCCCCTCCCTCCCTCCCTCCCTCCCACCCCCCCCCGCAGCTCTCCCCACACGACGTTCCGTGCCGTCACCCTCGACAGCGCGAAACGGGCCAGCAACGGCTTACTCCTCCTCCTCCAGACCTCCTGGGCAAAAAAAGGGGGGCCACGCCACCATCGCGTGCGCCGCAGTTTCGTCCGCGTTGCAGCCCCTCGGGCACTTAGGAGGGGCTGTGCGCCATTTGGTCGGCTGTACAAGAAGCCCCGCGTCTCCAACCTGTCCCGGACAGCCAGCCGTGTACAGGTCCCTCCGCTCCTTCGTGGAGCGCTGCCGCCCGACGACGACATTCCTCCAAATCTTCCCGTGCGTCTCCCTCCTCGCACCGGCCACCTCGCCACAGGCCTCCTCCTCCTCCTCCGCCGCAGCTCGAAACCTCCCTGGGAGCCCACCGGCCCCCCCCCCCCCCACCACCGGTTCAGGCCGTGCTGCCCGACGTAGCTCCCCACCACGTCGCTGACCCAGCCCCCCCCGGCCAGTCCAAAGGAAAGCTCCTTCCTATCCCAGTCATCCCGAGCCCCCTCTTCAACCTCCACGTCAGTCGAGACCTCATAGAGCTCGCTGCCTTGCCCCCCGGGGGGCTCCGCAGAGAAGAGCATCCTGCAGCGAGTTGCAGACAAAAGTCGATTGCAGGGTAGACCCCCACATTTGGGGCACCCCGCCCCCCCATTCCGGACCTGCAGACACACCGCGGCGCTCCTCACCCTCTCCATCCCTCCCCCCCAGATAAACCTGAAGATCGCCGAGGTCAAGGCCTTAGCCTCCCTCCCACCTGGCGGGAAAAACCTGCGCCAAGTAGATTAGCGACGGTAATATTTCTGTCTGTACCACCGTAATCCTACCGGCCATCGTGAGCCGCCTCCCAGCACACTTACCCAGACAGCCCTTTGCCTTCGTCACCCCCCTTCTCCCAGTTATTTTCCCTCCATCCTATCCCCACAGAAGAACACCCCCCAGTACCTTTATCCGCTCTGTTTGTAGACTCGGGTCCGGCGGCCGACCCTCGAAAAGCCTCGAGTCTCCAAACACCATCAGCTCACTTTTCCCCACACTAACCTTCAATCCGGAGGCCGAGCAGAACCTCCCCATCCCCTCCATACCGATGCTACGTCCCTGCATAGCACGGCCACATCGTCCATGTCACCTTTCCCTGCTCCTTGCTCCCCGGTATTACCACCCCCCTAATCCTCTGGTCATTCCTTATCATCTGCGCCAGAGGCTCCATGCACATGACAAATAGTACTGGGGACATCGGGCATCCCTGCCGCACCCCGGATCCCACTGGAATGATCCCGGAGCGTCCCACATTTATCAGGAGCCTGGCCCTGAGCCCCCCCATAGAGTCGCTTCACCCACTTCCACCAGGGGCCCACACACCCCCATCCTCTCCATCACCGCCAGCATGAATTCATGAGAGAGGCGGTCGAAGGCCTTGTCCAGGTCCAGACTTAGGATCCCCAACGGGCACCCCCCTCTCTCTCTCTCTCGCCTTCAATCGCCTCCCTCAAAACCACCAAAGTGTCTGCGATCCTCCTCCCCGGGACCGCACACGTCTGGTCCGGCCCCACCACCTCACCCACCACCTTCCCCAGTCGCCCCGCGACTACCCTTGCCAAGATCTTGTAGTCCGCATTCAGGAGGGTTATTGGCCTCCAACTTCCCAGGTCCCTACGGTCCCCCTTCCCCTTATAAATCAACGTGACCAGGACCCTCCCGCATGTCGTCCGGCACCCGCCCCTCCTCCAGAGTTTCCCTACAAATTTGCATAATATCCTCTTTCAGGAGTTCCCCAGAATTTTATATAGAAGTCCGCTGGGATCCCGTCCGGGCCTGGGGTCCTGTTCATGTTCAGCCCCTTCACCGCCCCTTCCACTTCTTCCCGTCGAATTCTCTCCCCTAGCGCCTCCGGGTTCTCGACCCTCTTCCCCAATGCACCCAGCAGCTCCTCCCGCCGCCCCCCATCTATCCCCTTTCCTCTTATACAAATCCCCAAAAAAGTCTTCCGCTACACTAATCATCCCTTCCGTCGTCACCTGTCTACCCCTAGTAGGACTAACCAGCTCCCTCATTTCATTTCTCCCTCCCTACCCGCCTTAAAGAAAAATCTTGTACACTGTTCCCTTTCCTCTGTTTGCCCTGACCCTCGCCCTGTACACTAATTGCCCAGTCCTCTTTTCCAGGACTGAGGCTACCCTCCCTTTCAACTCCTCTATCCTTTCTCGCACCGGGAACCCCTAGCTCTAACAGTCTATACAGCCCTTCAAACCTAGCGTTCCACTGTCTCAATTCCCTACCCACCCCCTTCCTCCTACTAGAACGCTGAAAGAACGTTCTTATCCTACCCTTCATCTGCCCCCACCACTCCACCCTCGTGGGGAAGCACACCCGCAGCGTCCTCCAGCTGGCATACGCTCGCGTGAAGTCCTCCGCCACCTCCTGATCCACCAGCAAGCCCACATTCGTCTTCCACACACCCCTCCCAATCTTCACCCCACCTGGGGTCACAAGCCCCGCCCACCACCATTCTGTGATCCCAGAGGGGAAAAGGTTCCACCCCCGCGCTTACCACATTCACCTCGTCGGAGACGAAAATAAAGTCGACACGTGACTGTGTGCCCCCCGCTCTTATCCGCCCACGTGAACCCTGGCCGCGTGCCATGCACCCTCCTGAATTGTTCTGTTTGTGGGAAGGCATTTGCAGAAAAATCATCTCTTAACAGACACCAGAAAACACACACGGGCGAGAAGTTGTTCAATTGTTCTCCGTTGGAGAGGACACGGTCATCACCCCGAAACAAGCATGCGAAGATCCGCAATGAGAGTGAAGTGAAATCAAAAGGAGTAATGCAAAGTGCTCCAGTGAGTCCTGAACAAAATGAATCTTTCGACCCTATACAGGTGAATCCTGAGAGATGCCTGGATGTAGTGGATGTAATGACTCCTGGCAACAATTCCTCTTTCGACCTCATGCAGTTGGATCCTGAGAGATTGCTGGATGTGATGAGTCCTGACCACAATTCCTCTTTCGACCCTATGCAGGTGGATACTGAGAAATGGCTGCTGGAGTGGCTGGAGGGTCAAAGTATTGAGCACTTCTGTTAACTCTTGAAGTCCTGGAATGTGCATGTTTGTGTCTCAGTTAAATCAATTAATAAGGTACACATCGTCTTAGCTCTTTCGGTAAAGTCACGTTGAAGGGAAAAAATAAAATAATAACGTGACTTTACCGAAAAAGCTAAGAATATGAATTACTGCAGTCACGAAAGCTTTAAATTAAAATTTAAGGTACACATCATTACTTCCGTGATTTCCAGCACTCCAAGCTAGAGTGATGTTGTGAATGCTCTATGATGTGTTCGGGAAAAAAAGGAATTCCTTTAAAAGCGAATTTTAAAAGATTTTGATGCGAGTTTTAACGTTGATATTGTTGCAGATTAATAAAGACATAGTTTGTGTTTTTAAAGATGACTGATCGTACATTATTGCTACAATTTCCTTCCTTAAAAAGAACATGGACGAGTTGACATGCACACACGAGTGTGCATCCTAACACGACTGTTTATATACAGCGGTGTGCATTCACACACGAGTGTGCATATACAGGGGTACACATACAGACATACAACGCAGTGTACATACACAGCAGTGTACGAACACGAGGATTGCGTTCCACTGCGAACACGCATGATTGTACCTGCATACATACACACATACGTATACGTTTTTTTTCTCTCAGAAGAAGAGTCACTCCATGTTGTTTGGCATTCCCCTGCCACGAATAAAGTTCTGTATTAACAACCTTCAACCTCATCGGCGTTCCCGGTCGGTAACGCTGTGGTGGATAAGTGCAATGTCCTTGTGGGAAGTCTCGTAGCCACCACAGCGGCCCACGAGGTCTCTGGACGGGTGCGAGGTGCTGGTAACCCTCCAAATTCAATGCAGTTACCGTAACAAAAACACGTCCAAAATATTTTTAAAAAACGTCCAACATATTGAACATAAACACAAGAGTATACAGACACACTGAAGAATAAAAGGTGATGATTGATTTTTTGCGGTACGTTATGTTAAACCACGCTTACAAGCTAAACCATTCAGATGATTACTCAAAGTTTATGACTTAAATTAGAACATAACATCCTCGTTTTCTAGAAACACTCCGCTCAACACGAGTGTCCTTAAATATATTTATTTAACAAAGTCAGTACAGTATAAATTTCCACCTCTTTGTCCAAAACAAACTCGACATCTTCATTTTGATTCTTTAGACTGTATGTCGCTGTTAAATCCTCTAAACTGCTGCAAGTTTAGAGGACATAGCCGGGTGAATATTAGCAAATTAACAGGAAGCACATAATTATGCATGGAGATGTACATCTTTATTCAAACGGAAGCGTACAGTTATTCAGTGGGATGTACATACATATTAAGGTTTAAGTACAATGGTTAGATTAGCTAAGCTAGGTTGATTGATCTGTGGATTGGTAATGTAAAAATTTACATTTGAATGCAAAGTCCATGATAGGCCAAGTCGAGAACAAAGGATTTGGATGCTAGAGGGAAGTTATAAGGGGCTTAAAATCAGACCTCAAGACCATTTCGAGAGGGATTTTACTGAGGATAGACGCTCGACTCCTCGCTCTGCAGATTTCCCTTCTCCTGCGAGACCCAGACTGGCGAGCACGATTGTTTGGCGACTGGTGGGCGACTTTGCTTCGGGAGAGCTCGTGGCGATCTCTTTAGACGGGTTACAGGGTCATCGATACACCGTGCATCAACAAGTAAGTGTCTTTGAGAGTGGATAACCTGGTAATAGCGTGTGTAGTCCGACTTACGAGACGTTACTGTGTCTCGATTGGACGTTTGTGAGAGTTTGCTTTTTGGCGATTTGAGCCACGCAGCTTAGAGGGCGCCGTTAACTCTCAACAACACCCGCGACTGTTACTCTGCTCTGTACAATCAGTCACATGGAGTAGATTAACTCTCCACAGTGCCACGCACACACGGGCGAGAAGCCATTCAATTGCTCTGTGTGTGGGAAGGCATTTGCACTGAAATCACATCTTAACAGACACCAGAAAACACACACGGGCGAGAAGCCATTCAATTGTTCTCCGTTAGAGAGGACACGGTCATCACCCCGAAACAAGCATGCGAAGATCTGCAATGAGAGGGAAGTGAAATCAAAATTTGTAATGCACAGTGCTGCAGTGAGTCCTGAACAAAATGCAGGTGAATCCTGAGAGATGCCTGGATGTAGTGGATGTAATGACTCCTGGCAACAATTCCACTTTCGACCTCATGCAGTTGGATCTTGAGAGATTGCTGGATGTAATGAGCCCTGACCACAATTCCTCTTTCGACCCCATGCAGGTGGATACTGAGAAATGGCTGCTGGAGTGGCTGGAGGGTCAAAGTATTGAGTACTTCTGTTAATTCTTGAAGTCCTGGAATGTGCATGTTTGTGTCTCTGTTATATCAATCAATAAGGTTCCGTTCTCCAAGCTAGAGTGATGTTGTGAATGCTGTATGATGTGTTCGGGAAAAAAAGTCTTCCTTTTAAGTTCCAGAAGTGTTCACTTATTTCAGGATGTCAACAATTTTTTGACTTAGATAGATGCGTTGCTTCGTCCGGTGGTTGTATCATCGGGACTGTTAAACGTGTGGTGTTTATAGTAAAAGGTGCCACGTATTGTTATCTTCACAGATACTTGAGTGTTGAAGTGACTTCTAGACTTTGTCACGTTAAGGTGGTAAGGTGGTGCTTTGTAGTCATATCGGATTACTTATTGATGTTGTGTGATGCACAGTGGTTGTGAGGTGGTCCAATTCCTGATTTTACTCTCGTGACTAAGTGGTCTTGTTGAGCTAAACTCTTTGGTTCTATTGGGTAAAGTCAGCGCTGCAGGTCCTCCAGACAGTCTCGTCCCTTCACCTGATGAAGGCCGCTTGTGTTGTGGCAGAAACGTCGTAATTTTTGTTATTTTATTTTTTCCTACGTGACTTTGCTAAATTGAACCAAAGAGGATGGATCCTTGCAGTCACGAAAGCTTTAAATCTAGAATTGTTGAGCTAAAGTTGGGGAAAGACTGTGATCATAACGTTGCCCTATATTTTAAACATTTTTCCTTAATTTTCTTCATTATTTGATTAAAAAAAACTACTTCAAAGTGTCGGTTTCAGAATGTGCGTTCGTTGTTCCTATGTTTGATGGCTTGGACTTGTGAACGAATTGCTTCAGTCGATAAGGAACGTCAATTGGGAAGGATTAAGACGTTCACGTGTTTGATTTTTTGAATATTTTATTACTGTTGAATTAATGAAAGTGAAATAATTTCCCTAGTTCCTTAACTGTTTGAAAAAGCGAATTAATAAATATTTTGATGCGAGTTTTAACGTTGAGATTGTTGCAGATTAATAAAGACCTGATTTGTTTTTTTAAAGATGACTGATCGTACATTATTGCTACCATTTCCTTCCTTTAAAAAGAACATGGACGAGTAGACATGCACACACGAGTGTGCATCCTAACACGACTGTTTATAATTATATACAGCGGTGTGCATTCACACACGAGTGTGCATATACAGGGGTGCACATACATACAGACATACAACGCAGTGTACATACACAGCAGTGTAGGAACACAAGGATTGCGTTCCACTGCGAACACGCACGATTGTGCCTGCATACATACACACACATACGTATACGTTTTTTATCATCAGAAGTAGAGCCACTCCATGTTGTTTGGCATTCCCCTATCACGATTAAAGTTCTGTATTAACAATCTTCAACTTCATCGGCGTTCCTGGTCGGTAACGCTGTGGTGGATAAGAGCAATGTCCTTGAGGGAAGTCTCGTAGCCACCACAGCGGCCCACGAGGTCTCTGGACGGGTGCGAGGTTGCTGGTAACACCTCCATATTCAATGCAATTACCAAAACAAAAACACGTCCAAAAAATAAAACACGTGCATAAATATTGAGCACATACACAAGAGTATACATACACACTGAAGACTAAATATGCATGATTGACTTTTTTGCGGTACGTTATGTTAAACCACGCTTACAAGCTAAACCATTCAGATGATTACTCAAAGTTTATGACGGAAATTAGAACATAACATCCTCGTTTTCTAGAAAAACCCCGCTCAACACGAGTGTCCTTAAATATATTCATGAAACCAAGTCAGTACAGTGTAAATTTGCACCTCTTAGTCCAAATAAAACTCTTTATGTTGATAATTCAGACTGTGTATCGCTTTTAAATCCTGGAAATCTTGCAGCAGTGTAGGAAGCACAGAATAATGCTTGGAGATGTACATCTTTATTCAAACGGAAGTGTACAATTATGCAGTGGGATGTACATACTTATTAAGGATTAAGTACAATGTGCCAGATTAGCTAAGCTACGTTGATTGATATGCGGATTGTTAATGTAAAAATTAACAATTGAATGCAAAGTCCATGATAGGCCAAGTCGAGAACAAAGGATTTGGATGCTAGAGGGGAGTTATAAGGGGCTTAAAATCAGACCTCAAGACCATTTGGAGAGGAATTTTACTGAGGATAGACGCTCGACTCATCGCTCTGCAGATTTCCCTTCTCCTGCGAGACCCAGACTGGTGAGCACGATTGCTTGGCGACTGGTTGGCGACTTTGCTTCGGGAGAGTTCGTGGCGATCTCTTCAGACGGGTTACAGGGTCATTGATACACCGTGCATCAACAAGTAAGTGTCTTTGTTAGTGGATAACCTGGTAATCGCGTGTGTAGTCCGTCTTACGGGGCGTTACTGTGTCTCGGTTGGACGTTCGTGAGAGTTTGCTTTTTGGCGATTTGATCCACGCAGCTAACAGGGCGCCGTTAACTCTCAACAACACCCGCGACTGTTACTCTGCTCTGAAGAATCAGTCACATGGAGCAGATGAACTCTCCACAGTGCCACGCACACACGGGCGAGAAGCCGTTCAATTGCTCTGTGTGTGGGAAGGCTTTTGCATGGAAATCAGCTCTTTTCAGACACCAGAAAACACACTCGGGTGAGAAGCCGTTCAATTGCTCGGTGTGTGGGAAGGCATTTGCACAGAAATCAAATCTTAACACTCACAAGAAAATACACACTGGTGAGAAGCCATTCAAGTGCTCTGTGTGTGGGAAGGCATTTGCACAGAAATCAAATCTTAACACTCACCAGAAAACACACACGGGCGAGAAGCCATTCAATTGTTCTGTTTGTGGGAAGGCATTTGCAGAGAAATCATCTCTTAACAGACACCAGAAAACACACACGGGCGAGAAGCCATTCAATTGTTCTCCGTTAGAGAGGACACGGTCATCACCCCGAAACAAGCATGCGAATAACCGCAATGAGAGGGAAGTGAAATCAAAAGGTGAAATGCAAAGTCCTGCAGTGAGTCCTGATCAAAATGAATCTTTCGACCCTATACAGGTGAATCCTCAGAGATGCCTGGATGTAGTGGATGCAATGACTCCTGGCAACAATTCCTCTTTCGACCTCATGCAGTTGGATCCTGAGAGATTGCTGGATGTAATGAGCCCTGACGACAATTCCTCTTTCGACCCCATGCAGGTGGATACTGAGAAATGGCTGCTGGAGTGGCTGGAGGGTCAAAGTATTGAGTACTTCTGTTAACTCTTGAAGTCCTGGAATGTGCATGTTTGTGTCTCAGTTATATCAATTAATAAGGTTCAAATGATTACTTCCGTACACTAAGCTCGAGTGATGTTGTGAATGCTTTCTGATGTGTTCGGAAAAAAAGTATGCCTTTAAAGTTGCAGAAGTGTTCACTTAGTTGAGGATGACAACAATTTTATTCTTCGATAGATGCATTGCTTCGTCTGGTGGTTGTATCATCGGCACTGTTAAATGTGTGGTGTTTATGGTAGAAGGTGCCACGTGTTGTCATCTTCTCACAGCTACTTGAGTGTTGAAGTTCATTCTAGACTTCGTCACGTTAAGGTGGTGCTTTGTAGTCATATCGGATTACTTGCTGATGTGGTGTGATCCACAGTGGTTGTGAGGTGGTCCAATTCCTGATTTAACTCTCAGTGACTTAAGTAGTCTTGTTGCAGCTAAAGTTGGAGAAAGACTGTGATCATAACGTTGCCCTATATTTTAAACATTTTTCCTCAATTTTCTTTCTTGTTTAATAATTAAAAAAACTACTTCAAAGAGTCGGTTTCAGAATGTGCGTTCGTTGTTCCTATGTTTGATGGCTTGGACTTGTGGACGAATGGCTTCAGTCGATAAGGACGTCAATTGGGAAGGATTAAGACGTTCACGTGTTTGATTTTTTGAATATTTTATTACTGTTGAATTAATGAAAGTGAAATAATTTTCCTAGTTCCTTAACTGTTTGAAAAAGCGAATTAATAAATATTTTGATGCGAGTTTTAACGTTGAGATTGTTGCAGATTAATAAAGACCTGATTTGTTTTTTTAAAGATGACTGATCGTACATTATTGCTACCATTTCCTTCCTTTAAAAAGAACATGGACGAGTAGACATGCACACACGAGTGTGCATCCTAACACGACTGTTTATAATTATATACAGCGGTGTGCATTCACACACGAGTGTGCATATACAGGGGTGCACATACATACAGACATACAACGCAGTGTACATACACAGCAGTGTAGGAACACAAGGATTGCGTTCCACTGCGAACACGCACGATTGTGCCTGCATACATACACACACATACGTATACGTTTTTTTATCATCAGAAGTAGAGCCACTCCATGTTGTTTGGCATTCCCCTATCACGATTAAAGTTCTGTATTAACAACCTTCAACTTCATCGGCGTTCCCGGTCGGTAACGCTGTGGTGGATAAGAGAAATGTCCTTGAGGGAAGTCTCGTGGCCACCACAGCGGCCCACGAGGTCTCTGGACGGGTGCGAGGTGCTGGTAGCCCTCCATATTCAATGCAATTACTGTTACAAAAACAAGTCCAATATTTTAAAAACCGTCCAAAATATTGAACACAAACACAAGAATATACATACACACTGAAGACTAAATATTTATGATTGATTTTGTTGCGGTACGTTATGTTAAACCACGCTTACAAGCTAAACCATTCAGATGATTACTCAAAGTTTATGACTTCAATAGGAACATAGCAACCTCGTTTTCCAGAAACACCCCGCTCAACACGAGTGTCCTTAAATATATTTATGAAACAAAGTCAGTACAGTGTAAATTTGCACCTCTTTGTCCAAATCAAACTCGACGTCTTCATTTTGATTCTTTAGACTGTATGTCACTGTTAAATCCTCTAAACTGCTGCAAGTTTAGAGGACATAGCCGGGTGAATATTAACAAATTAACAGGAAGCACAGAATTATGCATGGAGATGTACATTTTATTCAAAGGGAAGCGTACAGTTATGCAGTAGGATGTGTACATACATATTAAGATTTAAGTACAATGGCCAGATTAGCTAAGCTAGGTTGATTGATCTGCGGATTGTTAATGTAAAAATTAACAATTGAATGCAAAGTCCATGATAGGATTTGGATGCTAGAGGGAAGTTATAAGGGGCTTAAAATCAGACCTCAAGATCATTTGGAGAGGAAATTTACTGAGGATAGACGCTCGACTCATCGCTCTGCAGATTACCCTTTTCCTGCGAGACTCAGCCTGGCGAGCACGATTGCTTGGCGACTGGTTGGCGACTTTGCTTCGGGAGAGTTCGTGGCGATCTCTTCAGACGTGTTACAGGGTCATCGATACACCGTGCATCAACAATTAAGTGTCGTTGTTAGTTGATAACCTGGTAATCGCGTGTGTAGTCTGTCTTACGGGGCTTTACTGTGTCTCGGTTGGACGTTCGTGAGAGTTTGCTTGTTGGCGATTTGAGCCACGCAGCTTAGAGCGCCGTTAACTCTCAACAACACCCGCGACTGTTACTCTGCTCTGTAGAATCAGTCACATGGAGCAGATGAACTCTCCACAGTGCCACACACACACGGGCGAGAAGCCGTTCAATTGCTCTGTGTGTGGGAAGGCTTTTGCATGGAAATCAGCTCTTTTCAGACACCAGAAAACACACTCGGGTGAGAAGCCGTTCAATTGCTCGGTGTGTGGGAAGGCATTTGCACAGAAATCAAATCTTAACACTCACAAGAAAATACACACTGGTGAGAAGCCATTCAAGTGCTCTGTGTGTGGGAAGGCATTTGCACAGAAATCAAATCTTAACACTCACCAGAAAACACACACGGGCGAGAAGCCATTCAATTGTTCTGTTTGTGGGAAGGCATTTGCAGAGAAATCATCTCTTAACAGACACCAGAAAACACACACGGGCGAGAAGCCATTCAATTGTTCTCCGTTAGAGAGGACACGGTCATCACCCCGAAACAAGCATGCGAATAACCGCAATGAGAGGGAAGTGAAATCAAAAGGTGAAATGCAAAGTCCTGCAGTGAGTCCTGAAAAAAATGAATCTTTCGACCCTATACAGGTGAATCCTCAGAGATGCCTGGATGTAGTGGATGTAATGACTCCTGGCAACAATTCCTCTTTCGACCTCATGCAGTTGGATCCTGAGAGATTGCTGGATGTAATGAGCCCTGACGACAATTCCTCTTTCGACCCCATGCAGGTGGATACTGAGAAATGGCTGCTGGAGTGGCTGGAGGGTCAAAGTATTGAGTACTTCTGTTAACTCTTGAAGTCCTGGAATGTGCATGTTTGTGTCTCAGTTATATCAATTAATAAGGTTCAAATGATTACTTCCGTACACTAAGCTCGAGTGATGTTGTGAATGCTTTCTGATGTGTTCGGAAAAAAAGTATGCCTTTAAAGTTGCAGAAGTGTTCACTTAGTTGAGGATGACAACAATTGTATTCTTCGATAGATGCATTGCTTCGTCTGGTGGTTGTATCATCGGCACTGTTAAATGTGTGGTGTTTATGGTAGAAGGTGCCACGTGTTGTCATCTTCTCACAGCTACTTGAGTGTTGTAGTTCATTCTAGACTTCGTCACGTTAAGGTGGTGCTTTGTAGTCATATCGGATTACTTGCTGATGTGGTGTGATCCACAGTGGTTGTGAGGTGGTCCAATTCCTGATTTAACTCTCATGATTAAGTAATCTTGTTGCAGTAAAGTTGGGGAAAGACTGTGATCATAACGTTGCCCTATATTTTAAACATTTTTCCTCAATTTTCTTCCTTGTTTAATAATTAAAAAAACAACTTCAAAGAGTCGGTTTCAGAATGTGCGTTCGTTGTTCCTGTGTTTGATGGCTTGGACTTGTGGACGAATGGCTTCAGTCGATAAGTACATCAATTGGGAAGGATTAAGACGTACACGTGTTTGATTTTGAGAACATTTTATCACTGTTGAATTAATGAAAGTGATTTTTTTTTCCTAGTTGCTTAACTGTTTGAAAAACCGAATTAATAAAGATTTTAATGCGAGTTTTAACGTTGATATTGTTGCAGATTAATAAAGATCTGATTTTTTTTAAAGATGACTGATCGTACATTATTGCTACCATTTCCTTCCTTAAAAAGAATATGGACGACTAGACATGCACACACGAGTTTTAATCCCAACACGACTGTTTATATATACAGCGGTGTGCATTCACACACGAGTGCGCAAATACAGGGGTGTACATACATACAGACATACAACGCAGTGTACATACACAGCAGTGTACGAACACAAGGATTGCGTTCCACTGCGAACACGCACGATTGTACCTGTATACATACACATACGTATACGGTTTTTTTCTCAGAAGAAGAGCCACTCCATGTTGTTTGGCATTCCCCTGCCACGAATAAAGTTCTGTATTAACAACCTTCAACTTCACCGGCGTTCCCGGTCGGTAACGCTGTGGTGGATAAGAGCAATGTCCTTGAGGGAAGTCTCGTAGCCACCACAGCGGCCCACGAGGTCTCTGGACGGGTGCGAGGTGCTGATAGCCCTCCATATTCAATGCAATTACTGTTACAAAAACAAGTCCAATATTTTAAAAACCGTCCAAAATATTGAACACAAACACAAGAATATACATACACACTGAAGACTAAATATTTATGATTGATTTTGTTGCGGTACGTTATGTTAAACCACGCTTACAAGCTAAACCATTCAGATGATTACTCAAAGTTTATGACTTCAATAGGAACATAGCAACCTCGTTTTCCAGAAACACCCCGCTCAACACGAGTGTCCTTAAATATATTTATGAAACAAAGTCAGTACAGTGTAAATTTGCACCTCTTTGTCCAAATCAAACTCGACGTCTTCATTTTGATTCTTTAGACTGTATGTCACTGTTAAATCCTCTAAACTGCTGCAAGTTTAGAGGACATAGCCGGGTGAATATTAGCAAATTAACAGGAAGCACAGAATTATGCATGGAGATGTACATTTTATTAAACGGAAGCGTACAGTTATGCAGTGGGATGTACATACATATTAAGGTTTAAGTACAATGGCCAGATTAGCTAAGCTAGGTTGATTGATCTGCGGATTGTTAATGTAAAAATTAACAATTGAATGCAAAGTCGATGATAGGCCAAGTCGAGAACAAAGGATTTGGATGCTAGAGGGAAGTTATAAGGGGCTTAAAATCAGACCTCAAGACCATTTGGAGAGGAATTTTACTGAGGATAGACGCTCGACTCATCGCTCTGCAGATTTCCCTTCTCCTGCGAGACCCAGACTGGTGAGCACGATTGCTTGGCGACTGGTTGGCGACGTTGCTTCGGGAGAGTTCGTGGCGATCTCTTCAGACGGGTTACAGGGTCATTGATACACCGTGCATCAACAAGTAAGTGTCTTTGTTAGTGGATAACCTGGTAATCGCGTGTGTAGTTCGGCTTACGAGACGTTACTGTGTCTCGGTTGGACGTTCTTGAGAGTTTGCTTGTTGGCGATTTGATCCACGCAGCTTACAGGGCGCCGTTAACTCTCAACAACACCCGCGACTTTTACTCTGCTCTGTAGAATCAGTCACATGGAGCAGATGAACTCTCCACAGTGCCACGCACACACGGGCGAGAAGCCGTTCAATTGCTCTGTGTGTGGGAAGGCATTTGCACACAAATCAAGTCTTAATACTCACAAGAAAACACACTCGGGCGAGAAGCCATTCAATTGTTCTGCGTGTGGGAAGGCATTTGCACAGAAATCAAATCTTAACACTCACAAGAAAATACACACTTGTGAGAAGCCATTCAAGTGCTCTGTGTGTGGGAAGGCATTTGCACAGAAATCACATCTTCACAGTCACCAGAAAACACACACGGGCGAGAAGCCATTCAAGTGCTCTGTGTGTGGGAAGGCATCTGCACAGAAATCAAATCTTAACACTCACAAGAAAACACACACGGGTGAGAAGACATTCAATTGCTCATTGTGTGGGAAGAAATTTGCACGGAAAACAAATCTTCACAGACACCAGAAAACACACACGGGTGAGAAGCCATTCAATTGTTGTGTGTGGGAAGGCATTTGCACGGAAAACAACTCTTAACAGACACCATAAAACACACACGGGTGAGAAGCCATTCAATTGTTTTCCGTTAGAGAGGACACGGTCATCACCCCGAAACAAGTATGCGAAGATCTGCAATGAGAGGGAAGTGAAATCAAAAGGTGTAATGCAAAGGGCTGCAGTGAGTCCTGAACAAAATGCATCTGTCGACCCTATTCAGGTGAATCCTCAGAGATGCCTGGATGTAGTGGATGTAATGACTCCTGGCAACAATTCCTCTTTCGACCTCATGCAGTTGGATCCTGAGAGATTGCTGGATGTAATGAGCCCTGACAACAATTCCTCTTTCGACCACATGCAGGTAGATACTGAGAGATGGCTGCTGGAGTGGCTGGAGGGTCAAAGTATTGAATACTTCTGTTAACTCTTGAAGTCCTGGAACGTGCATGTTTGTGTCTCTGTTAGATCAATCAATAAGGTTCAAATGATTACTTCCGTACTCCAAGCCAGAGTGATGTTGTGAATGCTCTAAGATATGTTCCGAAAAAAGTCTTGCTTTTAAGTTGCAGAATTGTTCACTTATTTCAGGATGACAACAATTTTATACTTCGATAGATGCGTTGCTTCGTATGGTGGTTGTATACTCGGCACTGTTAAATGTGTGGTGTTTATGGTAGAAGGTGCCACGTGTTATCATCTTCTCACAGCTACTTGAGTGTTGAAGTGACTTCTAGACTTCGTCACGTTAAGGTGGTGATAAGTAGTCATATCGGAATACTTGTTGAAGTTGTGTGATGCACAGTGGTTGTGAGGTGGTCCAATTCCTGATTTTACTCTCGTGACTAAGTGGTCTTGTTGAGCTAAAGTTGGAGAAAGACTGTGATCATAACGTTGCCCCATATTTTACACGTTTTTCTTTAATTTTCTTTATTGTTTAATAAAAAAAAACTACTTCAAACAGTCGGTTTCAGAATGTGCGTTCGTTGTTCCTGTGTTTGATGGCTTGGACTTGTGGACCAATGGCTTCAGTCGATAAGGACGTCAATTGGGAAGGATTAAGACGTTCACGTGTTTGATTTTGAGAATATTTTATGTCCGTTGAATTAATGAAAGTGAAATAATTTTCGTAGTTCCTTAACCGTTTGAAAAAGCGAATTAATAAAGATTTTGACGCGAGGTTTTAACGTTGATATTGTTGCAGATTAATAAAGACCTGATTTGTGTTTTTAAAGATGACTGCTCGTACATTATTGCTACCATTTCCTTCCTTAAAAAGAACATTAACGAGTAGACATTCACACACGAGTGTGCATCCTAAGACGACTGTATATATATACAGCGGTGTGCATTCACACACGAGTGTGCATATACAGGGGTGACCATACATACAGACATACAACGCAGTGTACATACACAGCAGTGTACGAACAGAAGGATTGCGTTCCACTGCGAACACGCACGATTGTACCTGCATACATACACACATACGTATACGGTTTTTTTCTCACAAGAAGAGCCACTCCATGTTGTTTGGCATTCTCCTGACACGAATACAGTTCTGTATTAACAACCTTCAACCTCATCGGCGTTCCCGGTCGGTAACGCTGTGGTGGATAAGAGCAATGTCCTTGAGGGAAGTCTCGTAGCTACCACAGCGGCTCACGAGGTATCTGGACGGGTGCGAGGTGCTGGTAACCCTCCATATTCAATGCAATTACCGTAACAAAAACACGTTCAAAATATTTTTTAAAACGTCCAAAATATTGAGCACATACACAAGAGTATACAATCACACTGAAGACTAAATATTGATGATTGATTTTTTGCGGTACATTATATTAAACCACGCTTACAAAGCTAACCATTCCGATGATTACTCAACGTTTATGCTGGAAATTATGAACATAACAACCTCGTTTTCTAGAAACACCCCGCTCATAACGATTGTCCTTAAATATGTTTATGAAACAAAGTCAGTACAGTATAAATTTTCATCTCTTAGTCCAAATCAAAGTGGACATAACCATTTTGATACTTCTGACTGTGTGTCGCTGTTAAATCCTCTAAACTTGCAGCAGTTTAGACGACATTGTCGGGTGAATATTAGCAAATTAACAGGAAGCACAGAATTATGCATGGAGATGTACATCTTTATTCAAACAGAAGTGAACAATTATTCAGTGGGATATACTACACGAACAAATGTGCGAACAAATGACAGTACATACCTGTACACACATTCACGCGTGTACATATCCACATCAACGAGTGTAAATAAACACACGAGTGGACATACACAGCGGTACAGATTCACGTACATACAAACAGTAGCACACTAGGATAGCGGGGTTTTGTGATTATTTTCACTGATTAATCTGACCATCTAAATCTTAGATGCTCGCCATTCCACTCCAAACGCTTGTAATTATTTGTTTGCCTTTGCTACGGCACACCGGTTGAGATTATTCTTCCCATTTAAGTAATCTCTCTAGAATCATTTGCAATTTTCTTCATTAACTTCCTTGCATTCAATTGTAATCGCGGAAGTGACGCTCCTCATAATCTATCAACATACCTAAGCTCATGTGGCCATTGTGCTTAAGCCTAAGTAGGAATGTGCATTTCACTGCATCATTGTTCACTTCCGTTTGAATATGGATTGGCATCTTCTTGAATAATTATGTGCATGTTATTAGTTTGCACATTGTACGAACACAAGGAATGCGTTTCCAATGCGAACACGCACGATTGTACCTGCATACATATACACATACTTATACGGGTTTTCATTCTCAGATGAAGAGCCACTCCATGTTGTTTGACATTCCCCTGCCACGAATAAAGTTCCGTATTAACAACCTTCAACTTCATCGGCGTTCACGGTCGGTAACGCTGTGGTGGATAAGAGCAATGTCCTTGTGGGAAGTCTCGTAGCCACCACAGCGGCCCACGAGGTCTCTGGACTGGTGCGAGGTTGCTGGTAACCCTCCAAATTCAATGCAATTACCGTAACAAAAACACGTCCAAAATATAAAACACGTGCAGAAATATTGAACACATACACAAGAGTATACATACACACTGAAGACTAAAAATGTATGATTGATTTTTTTGCGGTACGTTATGTTAATCCAAATAAAACTCTATATCTTTATGTTGATAATTCAGACTGTGTATCGGTTTTAAATCCTGAAAATCTTACAGCAGTGTAGAGGACATTGCGGGGTGAATATTAGCAAATTAACAGGAAGCACAGAATATTGCATGGAAATGTACATCTTTATTCAAACAGAAGCATTAAATTATGCAGTGGGATGTACATACTTATTCAGGTTTAAGTTCAATGTGCCAGATTAGCTAAGCTACGTTGATTGATATGCGGATTGTTAATGTAAAAATTAACAACTGAATGCAAAGTCCATGATAGGCCAAGTCGAGAACAAAGGATTTGGATGCGAGAGGGAAGTTATAAGTGGCTTAAAATCAGACCTCAAGACCATTTTGAGAGGGATTTTTCTGAGGATAGACGCTCGACTCATCGCTCTGCAGATTACCCTTTTCCTGCGAGACCCAGACTGGCGAGCACGATTGCTTGGTGACTGGTTGGCGACTTTGCTTCGGGAGAGTTCGTGGCGATCTCTTTAGACGGGTTACAGGGTCATCGATACACCGTGCATCAACAAGTAAGTGTCTTTGTGAGTGGATAACCTGGTAATCGCGTGTGTAGTCCGACTTACGAGACGTTACTGTGTCTCGGTTGGACGTTCGTGAGAGTTTGCTTTTTGGCGATTTGAGCCACGCAGCTTAGAGGGCGCCGTTAACTCTCAACAACACCCGGGACTGTTACTCTGCTCTGTGGAATCAGTCACATGGAGCAGATGAACTCTCCACAGTGCCACGCACACACGGGCGAGAAGCCGTTCAATTGCTCTGTGTGTGGGAAGGCATTTTCACGGAAATCAAATCTTCACAGTCACCAAAAAACCCATACAAGCGAGAAGCCATTCCATTGTTCTGTGTGTGAAGGCATTTTCGCGGAAATCAACTATTAACAGACACCAGAAAACACACACGGGTGAGAAGCCATTCAATTGTTCTCCGTTGGAGAGGACACGGTCATCACCCCGAAACAAGCATGCGAAGATCCGCATTGAGAGGGAAGTGAGATCAAAAGGTGAAATGCAAAGTGCTGCAGTGAGTCCTGAACAAAATGCATCTGTCGAACCTATACAGGTGGATCCTGAGAGATGCCTGGATGTAGTGGATGTAATGACTCCTG